TGGTGACTAACAATGGTCAGTAACTCCAGTTCCAGTGGTCACCTCTTCTAACCTCCGAGTACGCATTGCATGCATGGGTGCACTTACATACAAGAAGGCAATACACTCACTCATACACATAAAATAACAATAATTAACTATTAAAAAAAAATTCCTCAAAGACACGTCCACAGGTCAATCTGATGGAAGCAATTCCTTAACTGAGGTTCTCTCTTTCCAAGTGTGTCAAGTTGACAACTGAAGCCAACCATGGCACAGACCAACGGACCTTAATATACTAGAGAAGGAAAAGACACTGACATGCTCCCAATTCCAATGCAACTATACATCAAGAAACAATTACTTTTTGTGGTCTGGTTGGTGAAGCATCAAAGGAGATTCAAAACTATGTGAAAGAGCTTTTCCAATGCAACGTCCCACAGAGGAGTTCGTGTGTGCCTCACAGCCATGCCAGCTGAGGGTCCACTGCAGTCCATGCAGGTCTTTGGACATCAGCGGCACACTGCAAACCAGGAAACAGCCTCATCAAGGTGAAGGGGAGCCTCCTGCAGATGATCGAGCCGCACATGCTGCAGTACAAGTTCTTAGTCAGTTTTGCTTCTGAGCAAGGAGCAGTTTGCTGGCATGGACAGCAGGGTCATGTGAAGGGTGGTGGTCACATGGCCCAGACTTATGCTATTCGACAGTCCATCTCCAAAGCCCTGGTGGCCTACTTTACCAGAAATACATGGATGAGGCTTCAAAGGAGATCAAAGACATTCTTATCCAGCATGAGTGGACCCTGCTGGTAGCCGATCTCCATCGCTGCAAGTCCAAAAAAGTTTGGAGGTCCTGAAGCCTGAGCTCACTACCAGAAATTCTACCAATAAGCCCATTACGAGGATCAGGGTTTACCTTTGTAATAAACATTGCGGAATTATCAAAAAAGTTTAAAAAAAAAAGTATGTAAGTGAGCCATAGCTGTATTTTTCATCTATTTCAATCAGAACAACCGACCCAAGAGAACAGTGCACAGGAGACTCAGCTCCCAAAGAGCTACAAAAGTTACAAGACACTGCCATTCCACTCCCTCAGTTATTTCTGTTTATGAAAATAATTTTCACTTGAAAATGTTAACACTTGATCTCAACAGGCAATCAGCTGTGTCTCCAACCCTCACGCCTCATCCACTTACAGCCGAAAGAATGTCTGTGTGCTCCAGGTCAATTTTATTTTTTGGTTTATTTTTTTAATTAAATTTTTTAAAAATTGAGACAGGGTCTCTGGTAGGCTCAGCTGTCCTGTAACTCACTATCTAGAGGACAGAAGAGGCTGTCGGATCCCCTGGGACTGGAGTTACAGACAGTTGTTAGCTGCCATGTGGGTGCTGGGATTTGAACCGGGTCTTCTGTAAGAACAACCAGTGCTCTTAACTGCTGAGCCATCTCTCCAGCCCCCTCCTCTGGCTCTTAAAATCTTTCCGCCCCCTCTTCCACAGTGGTCCCTAAGCCCTGGGTGGGTGGATTTTAATATAGGAGTCCTGTCCAAGGACCCACACTCTGAAGCCTCTTATTCTCTGTAGGTCACTTGAAAATGTTAACACTTGATCTCAACAGGCAATCAGCTGTGTCTCCAACCCTCACGCCTCATCCACTTACAGCCGAAAGAATGTCTGTGTGCTCCAGGTCAATTTTATTTTTTGGTTTATTTTTTTAATTAAATTTTTTAAAAATTGAGACAGGGTCTCTGGTAGGCTCAGCTGTCCTGTAACTCACTATCTAGACCAGGCTGGCCTCAGTCTCACAGAGATCTGTCCAGCCCTGTTTCCTGAGTGCTGGGATTAAAGGCGTGTGCCATGCCTGGTTAGAAGAATAATTTATAATAGTAAAATCTGGAAGCTGTGTGCTGGAGAGATAGCTGAGTGGTTAAAAACAATGGCTGCTCCTTCAGAGGACCCAGGTTTGATTCTCAGCACCCACACAATCGCTAACAATTGTCCATAACTCTAGTTCCAGGGGATCCAACACCCTCTTCTGACCTCCACGGGTACTGCACGACACAGGTGCACATACTCATATACAGGCAATACACTCATACACATAAAATATAAAAACAAAAACCTAGAAGCTAAAATGCAGTATGTATCCATAAAAATGGACAGTACACAGCAATGAAAATGAAAACAGCACTTAACCTCACTTATGCTGAATGATTACAGTCACAAAATTCAAAACACCTGGAAAAGCAAGCTGCACTATTTAGATTTAAATATTTAAATGTTACACTAACAGAGGCAAGTCGGTGTGTGACAGCTCAGCAGGAGGTCAAGTCCTGAGGTCGGGAGAGACAAGAACAGCCACAGGGAGCATTGAGGTTAGTGTCAGCATCAAGAACAAGCTCAGCCAAGACTGAGTGAAGTCCTTTCTATTGAGTGCACAGGAGACACCGAAAGCACACCACCTAGAGATGGAGCAGAAAAGGCATGGAAGCCAGAAGAGGAGGAATGCTGTGAAGCACTGCGTGTGCACAGGACATGGCACTCATGACCTCACAGCAGCTGTGGATGCTTGCACAAGGTCCAGTCTTTCAACATTCCATCATGGATGGGGGTATATTGGCTACTTTTTATTGCTGTGATAAAATACCATGACCCAAGACAACTTAAGAGAGTTTATTTGGCTCATGGTTCTGGAGAAGAGTCCACAATGCAAAGGAGGGGCAGCAGCAGGCATAGCCACAAGAAGCTAAGAGATCCCATCCTGTCTATCCACTTCCGGGAGCAGAGAGTGCAGTGAGGCTGCAAACTCTCAAAGCCTGTCTCTCATGATGGGACTTTCTCCAGCAAGGCTCTGTCCTAGAGGTTCCAAAATCTCCCCCAACAGGGGGAGACTGCCACCAACCAGGGACCAAGTGTCCACATACTTGAGCCTAAGGGGGGCATTTCTCATTTAAGCCACTACTGCGAAGTGTGGTGGTGCACACCTTTCATCTCCACAGAGGCAGGCAGTCTCTTTGAGTTCAAGGCCAGCCTGGTCTCCACTGTGACATATGGAGTTCCAGACCAGCTAGGGCTACATAATGAGACCCTGTCTCAAAAAAACGATAATTTACTTTATGTATCTGTTAGAGTGTGTGCCTGTGTGTATGGATGCCCTCAGAGGCCAGAACAGGGTACCAGATTCCCTGGAGCTGTAGTTAAAGGCAGTTGTAAACTCTGTTAAAAAGGCAGTTGTAAGCTGTCCTAAGTGAGTGCGTAAAAAAAAAAAAAAAAGGGAAGAGGGTGACAAAAACAGAAGCAGGGAAGGGAAGCCACCACTTCAGTGCTGCGGCCACAGCGAGCCCCTGTGGAGCTGCCCCCAGCTGTGGCAAGTAATCACCCATGCTCATGCAAATAACCCTAATTCAACCCAGTGAGTAACACACAGAACCCTATCAAAGACCAAGGGAGCTTGTTGTGAAGAAAGGTTTCAGAGAGAGAGGGTATGGGGGGGGGGGTAAAGGCCAAAATACATGCTTGTATGAAATTGTGAAATGAAAAAAAAATCTGAGTGAAAGAAAATTTCAGATTGACTACGCTCTTTCAATTCCTGGTGACACAGGGTCTTTTTACTCTTTTGCTCGTTCATTCACTCATTAATTCAACTATTCTGAGTACCTAATGTATGTCAGGTTGAACATTGTTCTTAGTTAAAATACACACAAAAAGGAGCTTGGAGAGATGGCTCAGCAGCTAACAGCACTTGCTGCTTTTGTAAAGGGCCAGCATTTGGGTCTAGCAACCATGTCAGGCAGCTTATAACCACCTCCAGCTCCAGGGGACCAATGCCTTCTTCTGACCTTTGAGGGGCACTGCACGCATGTAGTGTATATACAACGCATAATTAAAACCAAAAAATAAATCTCTGAAAAATACACAAGAATTCAGGGGTGGTGGTATCTCTGTGAGATCAAAGCCAGCCTGGTCTACACAGAGAGTTTCATATCAGCTGGGGCTACAGAGAAACAATGTTTCAAAAATCCAAAATGAAATAAAACCCCCACAAAAATACTGTGTTCATGGAACTCCTATTACGATAAAGACATACAAAGGATAAGTGAAATGGACTGGGACCGCTGGAACCAGATCTGAGGACAAGTAAAGCAGGTCAGGGCTCTTCAGAGGGAAGGAGGTGAGAGGAACACTGACCTGGCTTGGTAAACACTGGGGAGATGTAGCTACTGAAACTCTACCACCAAGATGCCTTGCAGCTGGGAGCTGTCTTCAGGAAGCCCATGGCTGGAAGGCAGCTGAATGGCCAGGGAAGAAGTGGCCTAGGCCTGGCAGGTGGCGAGCCATCCACACTGGAGCCCAATGCTTCTCAAACTGCCCCAGAGACCAACTGGAAAACAGAAGACAGTGACTACTACTGGCCACAGGAGCAAGGCACAGAAGACAGGAACTGCTCAGAACACAGCTACTTGCATCCAGAAAGCAAGAGAGAAGAAAAGAGCCTCAGATGTGGGACATGCCAATTGGTTGCAAAAGCTCCCCTAGAACCCAAAAGCTTTTGGGGAACAATGTCCCACTAAGACTTAACCTGTGTCAGAGATCAGATCAAGCCTAAAGGCCTCAAGGTCTCTATTAAGGGGAAGAATGGAATCAAGGAAGGAGGAAGGCTTGAGAACTGTGTCCAAGAAAAAGTGTTTGGATAGTTCAGGAGACGATCCAACACACAGAACTGTCTATAACTAAAAATATGTGAAAGTTCTAGCTTTTCATGAAACTGCATCACCAAAGAAACCCTGAGACCAGACACAAAAGCCCAAAGCACCACACAGGTGGCCAGCTTGTGGACTGTATGGATAAGGAAGCAGACGCCCTCACCTACTATGGGTGCGGCCAGCCAAGGCCAGGAGAGACAGCCCAGAGGACAGGCATGGGAACATTTTGATGGCAGACAGAAATCCTTTCCTCTCACTACGACTCAGCCCACCGCCCACAAGGGAGGACCAAGGAGCCCACTGAAGCTGCAGCCACTCACCGGCTGGTCAAGACCGCTGTGCCTCTCCTCCTTCTCCACGGTCCTCCGGCAGTCTGGGCACACCCACAGCGGCAGGTGCAGCACGCTGTTGCCCTTGGGAGCCATGGAAAGGGCCAATTTGCTCGCAGTCTTAACGCCACTCTCTAAGAATGAAGAGTCTTTCCGTTCACTTCTGCATAGAAGACAATAATCCCCAGCGGGGTAGGGTGGTGTCTTATGATTCATGCCAAAACTAAAAGGAGTCTGGAATAGAAAAAAAATTCTATGTTCAAAACCTGAGCCAGAAAGCCAAGGCTGTTTAAAAAAAAAAAAGAAAAAAAAATATATATTTCTAAAATAAAACATGTATTTATATCTTACGTAGAAAAACAGAAAATAGGAGACACATAAAACTGAACCTAGTATTCTAGAAACTCGAGACATTTCAAATAAAATAGCAACACCATAAAGAAAAACTTCATCCTCCATCTAGACTCATTACTTCCCAGGACAAAGTCCTTGAGACAACCCCACAGCTGCCTTCCCTGAACCAGGTGTGAAGCTACCTGACCAGAGGCAGCTACACACAAGGTCTTGCACCAAGGCAGTAACACTGGCTTAAAAGCATCTCTGGGGTGAGCTGCCCACAGTCTAAACTCCAGATAAACCACAAAGAGCCCGACAGCAGCCACATACTCAAAACCCAAATTCCCAGGCGCTATGATCACAAAGCTGAATTCATAGCCAGTTACCTAATTTCAACTGCTGCTTTTTCAAAACTATAGAGTAAACGTGGGCGTGGCCTGAGGAAGAGGCAAGATTGCTACTCTAGGTACCCTCCCTCTGCCTTGGGATGCGCAAGGAGGCTAAGGCTCTTGAGTTTGGAAATGGGCTTCAAGTACCAAGACCAAGAAGCAGGCGGCAAGATTTGAACTCAGTAGATGATCTGGACCCTTCCATGGTATTGCTGACCACCCACTGAGGGACACCTGCAGGCATAGAGCAGTAGACCCAGCAGAGAGGCATGGCTGTGCAGCACCATGCAAAGGATGCAAAAGCTCACAGCAGATCGCCCTTCGCCTCTCCTGTCACAGCCATCAGATGGGAGGAGCAGCTCCATCCGGGGATTTTTCTCTGGTACCCAGTTGGCCATGCCAAGCCAGCTCTTAAGATCTTCCCTTGGCCCTATGGCTCTCCCTGGCCTGTCACTGCTGCTCGTTCATCCAGACTATAAGTGTGTACCAACACAGCTGACCTACAACCAACCCAGAGCTCCCACCTGGACCCCAGGGTACCCACAAGAACTGTGGCTGAAACCTGGAGCCGAATGAGGAGATGAATGACCAATGAAGGAATGACTGCACCTTTGCAGGTAAAAGGCTTTCACCTTTACACCCACAAGGCTGAGGGTCTGACTAGGCCCAGCTAAGCAGTCATCTGAGTATCCGGCAGGGCAAGAAGAAAGCTCTGGAGACCCTGCAGACCTGCAAAACCTCAGAGCACACAAAGAGCACCTTTTTCAACACCAACAGGTCTGGAATGTCTACATTATGTGAATTTCAAAACTCAACCTCACTTAACTTTTCTTTTCCCTGTCACAAGCAGAAGAGCCACAGCCACTGGAGGATGTGCTGGGCTCCTCTGTACCATAGCACAGGTCAGAATGCAGTGCAACAGCCAAACTGCTGTGAGATGCCCCCTCGGCACCCACCACATGCATGGATCTGGAAGTGGTTTAGATTTCAGCTTTTTTCAGATTCTGGAATATTTGCATATATATTAAGCTATCTTGGGATGGGCCCAAAATTTATGACTATGAAACTTTAAGTTCCATGTAGACCTTCCACACAGATGGGAGGCAGTGTCTCTTGGTATTTCAAGTGCCCTGCACTGTGACTGCAACACTGAATGTCAAGTGAGGAACTTCCTGTAATAGTGCTGTAATGGCACCTAAAATGCTTTAAACTTGGGAGTATTTCCGATCTTGAACTTTCTGGAGCAGGGGGGCTCACAATGTACTTACTAGGAGCCTACCATATGCCTGGGCCTTGGAGTATGGAGTGAATAAACCTCTGACTTTAAGAAGCTAAGAGCCTCTCCAAAGACCAATGTAAAGAAGATAAAGCAGAGCTGGGATGGCCACTATAATCAGCACATGTATAAGTGGGAGGCCAGGCTGGGCTAGTGGGAGATCCTGTCTCAAAAAACAAAATAGAGGGGATGGAGAGATGGCTCAGTGGTTAAGAGCACTGGCTGCTCTTGCAGAGGACCCGGGTTCGATTCCCAGCACCCACAGAGTGGCTAACAACCATCTGTAACTGTAGTTCCAAGGGAATCCAACACCCTCTTCTGACCTCCTTGGGCATGGCACGATATGGATGCACTTATACACATGCACTCATACACAAAATTTTTTTTAAATAAAATATTTTAAAAATAGGGGCTGGAGAGATGGCTCAGTGGTTAAGAACACTGGTTGTTCTTGCAGAAGACCTGGGTTCGAATCCCAGCACCCACATGGCAGCTAACAACTGTCTGTAACTCCAGTCCCAGGGGATCTGATGGTCTCTTCTGAACTTCGCGGGCATTGCACGACATGGGTGCACTTACGTACATGCAGACAATGCACGCATACACATAAAATAAAAATAATAAATAAAAATTTAAAAATAAAATAAAATAGAGCTGGGCGGGAAGGCACACGCCTTTAATTCCCAGCACTTTGGAGGCAGAGGCAAGCAGATCTTTGTGAGATCAAGGCCAGTCAGCCTGATCTACATAATTACATAGTAAATTCTAGGCCAGCTGGAGCTACAGAGACCCTATCTCAAAAAGCCAAAAAAAAAAAAAGAGAGAGAGAGAGAGAGAGAAAAAGGATAAAATAAATTAGTAGAAAGTGTATGTTAAGGAAAAAGCCACAGAGTTCCGGTGCTGGGAGCCAGGAAGAGCCTCTCTCACTTAGGTGACAATGAGGGCTGCCTTGAGGAAATACTTATATGTCACAGACACCTACCAGTACAGGAGCACTCAAAGGCACAAAGCGCAAGGGCAGCAGGGGGTTAGGGGGGTGCTCAGGCACTGGGGCTATAGAAGAGCACCATCAAGATATGGTGAGACAGGAGTGAGGCCAAGTGCAGCTCCCAGGGCTCCAGGCTGAACTGAATACCTACTATGGGCCATGAAATGCAGAGACAAGTAACCGGAGCCACAGTGTACTGCTGTTGTGAAGAGCAGTTTAGGGCCTTTGTGTTTCGGAGGTGGTGCCTCCCTGTGTGCCCAAGCTGGCCTCAAACCCCTTGACCCTGGCAATCTACCCATCTCGGTGAACTACAGGTTCACGTGATCAAGACGGTGTTTGAGCAAAAGCAAACAGGGATGCCAATGCTAAAGAAGGAATAATACACGGTCCAAGGGAGGAATAGCACTTAATGCTCAACACGTCCGTGGCCATCAGGAACATAGCCAAGGGCTAAAGCTTCTGCGGCAAGTGGGCATAGCCAGGTAGGGCAGGTCACCCAAGCTGACAGCTCTCCTGTGGGGGGGGGGCATGATCCAACTTCCATCTTAAAGAGCACTTTTGCTGTATGAAAATGAACTCTTGCTGCTGCAGCCGGTTCTGGGTACAGATAGATGGCTCATACTTGTGGAACAGTGTACAAGAACAAGGTGGGACCTATGAGGGGTGCGAAGGGTTGATGGCCTTAACACTATGGAAGAGAAGTCAACAACAGAGCTTCAAAGGCATAGGATAGGAGGGACCAGTGTCAAAAACCTAAAGTCAACTTTGGATGCTGTTCCCATGAACTGCACATCTAATATGGAGTTTGTGTTTGCTGTTCATGAATAAAACACTCAGGAGGATGGGCTGAAGTGACATGTAATTGGGGATCACTGGTACATATGATATCCCAAGTCATGGCACTAGTGGTTGGGGACCCTGGTGCTCAGCAATTAAAATTAACCACTTGCTGTGCAAGCATGAGAGTTGGATTCAGGTCCACCAGAAACCCACATGAATGCTGGGTGGGCACAGCAGCCCACCTATAATTCCAGCATAGGAAGCAGAGAGAGGATTCCCAGAGCAAGCTGGCAAGCCTGCAGAGAAAGGGCAAAGTTTGAAGTTAGTCCTCAGAAAGAACAGAATCCTACTCCATACCTGTAGCAAAGCAAGTAGCAAGTTGCCCCCACCCCAGACACATGTACAAGCACACACAACAGACACTGAATTAATCCAGATTCACAAAAAACACTGCCCCTCTGCCTCAGTACCAGCTAGTGAGACCAGCTGCATCCGCAGGCTCCAAGGGTGAGAGACTTTGCCTCAACGAACAAGGGGGAAGAGCTACCAAGGATGAGTTCTGATGCCATCCTTGGGTCTCCATGTGCACATGCAGAAACAAGCATATCACCTATGAAAAATGGAAAAGGGGGGATCATGGAACGAGATGAAATGATCTGTAGAGAAAGGGCAAAGTCTGAAATAAAATGTCAAAATTTTCTGATGCTAGTTGAGTGTGGTGGTGTGCACTGTAGTCCCAGTTACCAGGCAGACTGGGAGCGGATGGGGGGCTTGAGTCATGCCCACCCAACACAGTGAGACCCTGTCAATAACCAAAAACAAAAAAACAGACTTTTCAATACTTAATTACCTATGTTCCAGGTTGAAGTTAGTCCTTGAAAAGAATGGAATTCTACTCCACACCTTTGGCAAAGCAAGTAGCAAGTTGCCCCTATCCCCAGCCAGACACATATACAAGCACACACAACGGACATTGAATTAAAATCCAAATTCACATAAAACACTACCCCTCTGCCTCAGTACTTTTCAACTATGATTAAATGTGAGGTACAAATATGAATTCCATCAATACCTTTTTTAAAAAAATAGCAGTTTTAGGGCGGGGCATGGTGGCACACGCCTTTAATCCCAGCACTTGGTGGGGGTGGGGGGCAGAGGCAAGCAAGTGGATCTCTGTGAGTTCAAGGCCAGGCTGGTCTACATAGTGAGTTCCAGGACAGCTGGGGCTACAGGGAGACCCTGTCTCAAAAAGACCAAAAAAAAAAAAAAAGAAAACAACAGTTTTTTGTTTATTTTATGTGTATGAGTATATTGTCTGAAAGTATGTAAGTGCACCCGTGTCACACAGTCCCATGGAGGGCAGAAGAAGGAGCAAGATGCCCCTGGAACTGGAGTTACAGACAGTTGTTAGCCACCAAGTAGGTGCTGAGAATCGAACCTGGGTCCTCTGCAAGAGCAGCTGGTG